TAGAGCTCATTCTACTGAAACAGCTCTTCTTAGGGTCTCTAATGACCTTCTGACCCACAGTGATGCAGGAGATTGTTCTGTTCTGGTCCTGCTGGACCTGACTGCAGCCTTTCACACTGTTGACCATCACCTGCTACTGGATAAGCCGAGAGACTGGGTAGGCTATCAGGATCTGCTCTGGAGCGGTTCTCTTCATATCTGTCTGAGCGTTCATTCTCTGTGGCCTTCTCCAAGTTTAGGTCCTCCACCACCTCCCTTACCCATGGTGTCCCACAAGGTTCTGTGCTGGGGCATCTACTCTTCCTCCTCTATTTGCTCCCTCTTCAGCTCATCCTGAGCTCCTTTAAAGGAATATCCTACCATCTTTATGCAGATGACCTCCAACTGTACATCTCCTTTAAGCTCCATGAGATGTCTAAGCTGCGACTGTTACACACCTGCTTAGACTCTATTAAAACCTGGATGGCTGGGAGCTTTCTACGGCTGAATGAAGATAATTCCAATTCCAATTCCAATTTTATTTATAAAGCGCATTCAACAAGGCATTACAACCAAACAAGGTGCTGTACACTAAAAATGTTAGTTAATTAAACCGGCGTTATACAGTCATGTAGAACAGAGATAAAAGATGAAAAGGAAATACAACAAAATTCCTAAAACTAACAGTTAAAAATCAATAAAACATAGGGAGAATAAAAAATAAGAAAAACATTTTAAAAAAGAAACTCAATAATACGGAAGTTGATATTGTGAATTCCAGTTTTAAACAATGTAGTTGTAAGTGAGGTTCATGATTATGTGGTATACGCTAGGTTGAAGTAGTGAGTTTTCATGCGTGATTTAAAAATGCTAGCTGTTGGTGCTTGCCTCACTAGTAGTGGTAATGCGTTCCACAGCTTGGGTGCACAGACAGAGAAAGCCCTTTCTCCACGGCTTTTTAAACGTGCATTCGGAACAGCTGAACAGCTAGGAGGAGCTTATCTTCGGACCTGAGAGCACGCGACGGATTGTAGTAATGGACAAGTTCACACAGATATGGAGGAGCTTGATGGTTCAAGGATTTGTAAGTCAGAAGCAAAATTTTGAAATTTATCCTGAACTGCACGGGCAACCAGTGGAGAGATTTCAGAATTGGTGAAATGTGTTGTCTTCTGTCAGCTCCAGTCAGCAACCTAGCTGCAGAATTCTGGACCAGCTGAAGTCTAGAAAGAGCTGCTTTACTGATGCCGTATAAGCAGGAGTTAGAGTAATCCAGCCTTGAAGTGATGAAAGTGTGGACCACAGATTTCAGAAGACGGACACTCAGGATGTGCTTTAGTTTCGAGATGCGTCTTAGTTGGTAAAAACATGATTTAACTGTGTTATTGACATGGGCATCCATCTTCAGAGCCTGGTCCATTTTTACTCCAAGGTTGGAAATTACAGAGGATACATTAGGTGAGAGATAGTTGAGGTCAGGTTGATGAGTAGCCGTGGTACTGTAAGGACTAAAAATGATTAACTCAGTTTTGGAGTCATTGAGATGGAGGAAGTTATCAGCTAGCCATAGCTTGACCTCAAGGATACAATCAGACAGAACTTTCGTTGATTGAGTTGGCTTAAATGAAAAGTAGATTTGACAGTCGTCAGCGTAAAGATGGTATGAGACAGCGTGCTTTCTGAAAATGGCTCCTAAGGGCAGTATATAGAGGTTGAACAGTAACGGGCCGAGTATTGAACCTTGTGGGACACCCCAACGTAGAGGCTGTGACTCGGATGAGCAGCCATCCAACATGACCCTAGCGGACCTGTTACAAAAGTATGACTTAAACCAATCTAGGGCTGAGCCTGAAATGCCAGCCCAAGTGTGAAGTCTTGTGATCAAAATGTCATGATCGTTTCATGACCTGCATAAGACTAAGATTCTCACCTGTTCCCCAGACAAGCTGGTTCCCAAAGTCAGAGACTCTCTTGGTCAGCTTGCTTCTCACACCAAACCCTCTGTCAGGAATCTTGGTGTGACTTTTGACCCAGCTCTCACCCTGGATTCTCATGTCAGTTCTCTTGTTCGCTCCTCCTTCTTCCATCTCAGGAACATTGCAAAGCTGTGTCCCATTCTGTCCCGCTCTGAACTTGAGACTATTATCCACACCTTCATCTCCTCATGCTTAGACTACTGTAACTCTCTTTTCACGTGTCTGAGCAAAACCTCCCTGAATCGTCTACAGGTGGTTCAGAATGCCTGTGCTCGTCTTCTGACCAAGTCTTCCACACACCCACATCATCCCGCTTCTCCTCCAGCTTCACTGGCTGCCATTCAACTTCAGGGTTCATTTCAAGATCCTGGTTCTGGTCTATAGGGCCTTACTTGGCTGCATGGTGGCGCAGTGGTTAGCACTGTTGCCTCGCAGCATGAAGGTCGCAGGTTCAAAACTCGCCTTTCTGCGTGGAGTTGCGTGTTCTCCCCATGCATGCGTGGGTTTCCTCCGGGTGCTCCGGTTTCCCCCACAGATCACAACATGCCCTATAGGTTATAAAAAAAAAAAAAGAAAAAAAATAATAATTGTACGTCGCTTTGGATAAAAGCGTCTGCAAAATGAATAAACATAAACATGGACAAGCACCATCTTACATTGGTGATTTTCTCAGTCCCTGCACCTCAGCAGGCCCCTGACGTCCAGTGACCAAAGCCTACTGGTTGTCTAGCGCACCAGTAAAGTCCAAAGGTGACAGATCATTTGCTGCGGTGGCCCCCAGACTCTGGAACTCTCTCCCCTGAGCCTGAGATCAGTGGACTCAGTGGTCTCCCTTAAAAAGCAGCTGAAAACTCACTTGTTCAAGCTTTTGCGTGACCTTCATCACCCTCTTCTTGTTCTGCACTTTCTGTCACAGTCTGTGTGTGTGTGTGCGTGCGTGCGTGCGTGCGTGCGTGCGTGCGTGTGTGTGTGTGTGTGTGTGTGTGTGTGTTCTGTCTACTATGTTCTCTCTGAGTTTTCTAAATGCAGGTGGACATGTATGGAGAGTGGGTCCAGCTGATGCTGATTTCTCAATCTCTACCCAGGTGAATTGAGGGACAATATGACACAGCATCATGGCAGATAATTACTCACACTGGGTATCTCTAGACAACCCAAGTTTTGAATACCAGAAAGAATCTTGTTCTTGTGGTTGTGTTTTTTTTTTCTTCCAAGACTTGGGTCTCCTGCATTCCTCTGTGACTTCAAGATTCTCAGACGCTATCCCACCCTGTGCCTCCTCAGGTTCTTCACAACTGTCTTCTGCATCTTCTGTACTTCAACCCGCACCTCGAGTTCCACGTCACATAATCCTTCCCCTGGCCGCCCGCTCTCCAGCAACCACCTGCTCCTGATCCTTCCTGGATTTCTCCCGGAGTTCCGCGCCCTTCCGTGCCTCTGAAACCACCACAGGCACACAGACCCAGACAGCCTCTCCCTTCTGGACGTTTGACGCTTGGAAAAACCGTAAGCAACGAAACTCAGACACATATCAACTCCATCTGACCCTCTTGGATTCTGACCCTTCTTTGTTTTCTAGACCCCTCACAAATTAACCTGCATCCAGTCAAGCAGCGCCCTTTGTTATATTTTTTATAATAAACATTTGTTCAACCTTACCTTTTGTCTCCTCCCGTGATTCTGCAGTGCCTCGGGTCGTGACACTTTCTACCTATCCTGCCTTTCCTGGGATCCACTGATTTCCCTCTTTCTTATTTCTTTTCTCATTATTATTACTTTTTTCTAATTTTAACCATATTTTTAAAATAATTTCTTAAGCATTTTTTTGCATTTTGAATCTTTTGTTTGCCTCGTTATTTTTATCTTGAGAGGTGCTGAATAAAAGATCATTATTTTCTTTCTTTCTTTCCATAAAAACTCTGTCTCCATGAATGCCATGGAAGACCTGCCAGTCCAGGATGATACTAGAAGAGCTGAGCAATGCACTGAAGCGTTGCCATGTGAGAAGACAGCTGGAAAGCAGGCCCTACTAGACCTACTATCCCTAACCCCCTTCATGACCTCACATCTCTCTTTTGAAAAGAGGGCAATGTACCACCAAACATGCACATTACAGCTCTGCCTTGTCATAAACCAGTCCCAAGTCTAAAATGATGACCATGATTCTTTAATGTTACCAATTATTTTCACTTGCATTCAGTCTGATTATTTCGGTCACCAAGCAGAATTTGAGTCCCTACTGAGTGATTTTAAGGATTTTTTTTACTCACAATGCTAGTTGGATCCATTCACTTACTGTGTTTAATGCTAAGTTAAAGCAAAAGGAGTACAGCCAGGTCAGGAAAATGACTGGGATGGTTAAAAATGTCGACCCCCCCCCCCCCCCCAATTACTCTGGGAAATATGTCAACATATAAAATTTTGATTTTGGGTGGAATAACCCTTTAACGTGTATGCAGTTAGGATGAAAGGGGTTGATGCACATTTACATCACTAGTTTAGGGTTAAAATACAACATTTTAGAGTCTGGATATATTGTGGATATTAGCCCTAAAGTGACTACCCATTATCTCAACTGTCTCTTATCTACTTTCTCCAAACTGCTTTAACTTGTAGGTCAAGTCACCTAAAACTAACGTCTGTACGTTAACCAGCTGTGTTGGTGGGGGTGGGGGGTGGAGGCAGTAGGGTGGTGACTTCTCTTCAGCCATTTGTAAGCTGTTGGAGGAGGGAGGGAGCTGGAAGTCAAATAGGAGAAGAGAGAGAGGTGGAGGCTTTAATGAAGCCAGAGAGGGCTAAGAAGTGGCTGATAGGAGGCTGCCACAGTCCCCAACCTGAAAGCAGCAAACCGGGTCAGTTTATGTGGCTTCAAAATCCAAACGTTCACTTAAAACGTAAAACCCGTGAAATCTGATAAGTTAGATTTATATTTAGGCACAAAACTCAGTTCAAACGTTTATCTGGAGTAGTTTCCTTCCAAAGAAGATCCTCAACTGAAGTAAGTGAATAAGTTTCTACCTAATTACACATTTAGGTTGTTGTTTGTATGTGTTGTTGATGGTAACAACATCCTGGATGAGGCATTTGCCTGGTTTACAGACACGTGGCATGAAACAAGAGGGTCCTCAACTTTTACTCAACGATCTAAAGATACTGTTTAAATCGGAGGGCGTGTGTGGAAAAGTTTAAAGATGGGTTTAGATTATCGGGATCGAAAAAATTGATTTAGTTAAACTGAGCGGGAATAAATGCGGCGGAGTGACTGCCATGCTATTTGTTTCCTCATTCCTTTGTTTAGTAGTCAAACCCGAGTCTTTGTATGATCGTGTTTGGACTTTATTTAATATAAAACACAATGTGTTTAACAACTAAAGCTAGTTTTAACGTTATGTCCGTTTAAAGAGCGATGGCGTTTGTTTCCTCAAGATAATGACTTTGTGACGCCTTCAGTGGCATCCCGTAGAGTCAGAATTTTCACCATTTCAGAAGCAAACGCACATTTAAATTGGACTTTAGTGGCATGTGGGGGATACTTTAAATTGTATTTTTTCCAAACTGAGATAGTTATATTAACACAACCACAGTTTCATTAGACATAAACATTTTTATGTCAGGAAAAAGAAAACAATAGTTGATTCATTTTAAAACCATCGTAACGGTTGGCCACGAAAAGCTACAAAACACGCATTAGCTCTGGCAGCTAGCTTAAAAAAATAGCAATAATCTATTTAAAATACTTCATACGTAGAGCTGTGTTGTTAGCTGAGGCTCCAATTAAATGATTAAAAGCAACAGCAGTAAAATAAATGGAGGCTTTATGTAAATATTGGTGGGGTAGTGTTTCAAAGCATGATTGTGTGATGATGACTTATCCACTCTGCTGGTATCCTTCCTGGCATTTAGCCTCAGCTTGATTAAATAATCAAACTATTCAGTAGATATCAAACAGAAGACTGATTTCCTTTACTATTTTTTTAAACTGATAATGTATGGATTTTTGTGCAGCACGTAAACGTAGCACTGGAACGGGCCGGGTAACCAGACCCTGGCTGAGGTCATGCCCGGGGAGAAACAGCTGCCAGCCGGCCCGAGCGGGTAGCATCGGAGGGTGGCGCTGTGCGGTATCCACGGGGAACAGAGGCGTCCAGAGCGTGAGGTTTATTTTCTTGGAAACTTGTTAGGATAAAGAGTTTGTCATGCGGTCCTTTGTGTCCCGCAGAGAATGATAAACATTCCTGATCAAGGTCAACAATATTTCCAGCTGGGAAGAAAAGAGGCAGCTCTGGATGTGAGCAGCAGCAGAAACAGTCAAATGATCACGATTGAGCTTTTATTTTTTTAAACAAACACAATGGAAACAGGTTTATATCTATTATGGACCTACCAGTAAACACAGTAGGCCTGAAATTCAATCCCGTTTAAATGCCAAAACCCTCCATGACCGCACCAGTGGCAACATTGCATCATTCCAGGTATTTCAGGAAACAGTTTCCTTATATGGTATCCCTTCCAATCGGCTTCATGTGCCACACACACGCACACACACACACCACAGGGCTGTGACCGGCCTTCACAGTTGCCTGTCAACACTAAACACACCTTTACTTCCTTGTTCTACTTGTTGTCAGGTCTTTGTTGTGTTGACCCTCCTTTATCATCACACCATCATGTGGACATCCTGCTCAGTTAAACCTAAGGCTGGTTGGTTTTGTTTAACTTGTGTGTCCGTCGGTGTTAACCTGATCTGGGCGGACAAAGACACACACCCGATAGCACAACCTAATTCTTGTGATACCTACGACTCTTACAAGAGTTTAAATTTTCATGGCCGTAGTCTTGATGCTCCAGTTTTAGAAGACATTTTGAGTCAAGCCTACACACAATCAGCACCGATTAGGACGATGGCAGCATGGCTAAATCATTTTGCTGACACCACATTTTAGATTTGCATGAACTCTTTTGCTCTCAGCAAATAGTTCTGACTCCAAATTTAATAATAGTGACCATTTAGGGCTGCACAACATCACTCATCTGTAGTTATTGCACTATTAATATCCAAAGAACTGATTGGATTTCTATAAATCATAGTTCATATGTTCCAGGTGTCAAAATACAGAAAGTGTGGAGGAGAATATGGGTTTAACCCAATGGATGTTGTCATTAAAATGTTACATACTAGTATTGCAGTGGCTTGTTTTTACTAGGTCTTTTGTTTATTATAATCTCGCTCCGTCACCTGTTATTTAAACATCTCATGATGTTTTGGAGGGTTCGTTATGTGCTGAAGTTATAATCAACAAACAGAAATGAAGCCACAGACTAGTGAAGACTATATAAACAATAATGACGATATTTTGATGCAGGAAAAGCAGTCCGAAGATCAGTTACTCAGATTATAAAGTAATCTAACTACAAAAAGAACTAATTAGATTACATATTTAGTGGTAACTTTATAAATTTAGTTTTTTTGACTTTCTAAGCCTCAGAAGTTTTGTTCTCTAACAGTTTGTTTTATTTGTGGCTGGAGAACGTCTCCAGGACTTCAGCAGACCAGTGCGATCCTGTAAACCTTTTAGAGCCAGTTTCATTCATGATTAGTTTCATGCTGAGGCCTTTTCTTTGCCCCAGACTCCACTTTACTGTCTGACTTTATTAACAAGCTCATTTGTAGAGTTATACAACTCAATGAATGAACATCGTGCCGCTCTGTCGCCTCAGTGTTGAGGGCAGGGTAAGTGTGTGTGTGTGTGTGTGTGTGTGCGCGCGCGCGCGTGTGCGCATGGTGTGCACAAATGCTGCAGATCTTCACAATGGGGTGTCAGTTACAAGGAAATCCTCCATTCAAACTCTCTTTTCAGCACAGAGGTAGCTCACTGGACTTTGAGTAATCTCATTACACACATGCCTCATGGACATATGCAGAGACAAATCTGTCCTGTTAGACTTTCTACAGTCCTACATGCACACACTCGCACACATGGTTAGAAGATGTCCCCACTGGGAGGAAGTGTTTCCTGCTAGGGGTCCTGACACTTTTTCAGGTTAAAATGGGAAAAGCTGGTTATTTTTGGATCCAGGTGTGTGTTCTGTGGGGTTAAAGTGACCGTTGACCTGTCCCGCCGTGCCTGTGTTTTTAAGGTGGTCATGACGACTGAACAGACTTTAGTTTAGCTATTTTGTTTGAACGTGGGTCTGTTTACCTAAAGCCCACTTCACTCCTGACCCGGTGTTTCCCAGATGAGGTAAAAGGACAGGAGTCTCAGGCTCGTTCAGTAGGAATTTGCTCTGCTTAGAGATGGAATTATCAGCTGTTTACCTGCTGCTTTCACTTCCAGGGCAAAGCAAAGGGTTGATGAGCTTGACTTTGTTTCAATCGCTGATGTCGAGAGTGAATGGTCACTGTGGACAAAGCCTATACGGGGGTGGAGGGTTAATTAGTGAACTGAGAGGAAATATGTAAGAGTTCATCAAGTTCTTTTGGTAGAACAAACCTCATAAAAGACCAACTTGGTTCAGATGTTTCTTAAAAAGTCAAAATAAATCTGAGACATCAGAAAACTTCATAAGGAAACGGTAAACGCTCATTAGGAGTTGCAGTAATCTAGATGGTTTGTTTCCCTTTTTGGGAAGTTTTTGTTAAAACACTTCCTGAAAAGTCTTTTTTAACGCCCTGCTTTGTGTTACTAATGACGACCTTCTCTTGCTTTCTTGCAGCTGCAGTCATGGCGCCCACTCTCATTCAGGCCTACAGGAGGCGCTGGTGGATGGCGGTGACGGCAGTTATTGAAAATTTGCTGTGTTCGGCTGTGCTGCTGGGTTGGGGCTCCCTCCTCATCATGCTGAAGAAGGAGGGCTTCTACTCACACCTGTGCTCAAGTAAAGACTCTGAAATCAGCAAAGCATCATGAGATGAAACAGATTGTGTGCAGCAGCTGTGTGGTGACTGTTTGAATTTGTTCACTTAGAAAACAACTCTGTGGTGGTGCACATGGGCAATGCCTCCATGGGTATCGAGGAGGAGTGGCTCCCCTGTGTAGAGCAAGAGGAGATGCTGAACCTGGGGTTCACCATCGGTACCTTCCTGCTGAGCGCCACGACGCTGCCACTCGGCATCCTGATGGACAAGTTTGGGCCCCGTCCAATTCGTCTGGTTGGCAGGTGATGGGTCACAAGTTTATATCTAAATATGTTGAATGAATGTTAATATTTCATTGAAATCAGTTTTATTCATTCAGGCCCTCAGCTGCTCTGCCTTTCTTCTTCTACTGCGACAATTCTGGTTTTAGCAAAGCACACACACACAGAGGGACTGCATTCCTGAAATGGCTTTTGATCTCTTAAGGAGGCTAGGTGGAACACCTGGTGGTATGTAGAGACTGCAGGGAAGCATACCTTAAACCACACAGCCATAACATTATGACCACCTTAACTTTACCTAATGTTGAGTACAGAAACCATTACTTTTTGGGTCTTTATGGATGCAAACCTTGGTGGGATATAGAGATTGGGAATCAAGTGGTTGCATTAATATGGCTGGTCTATCTGGGCACTTTTTGGGGGTTGAATAAATGTAAACATGAGCTTTTTGTACACCTATAAGCAACATTTAGTCATGTTTACCGAAGTTGAATCTTTGCAACGTGCTAATTGTTGCTATAAAAAGTCACAACTACAACACACACACACGCATGCACGCACGCACACACACACACACACACACACACACACACACACACACACACACACACACACTGTTTGAGCCGATAAGACATCAGATGGTCTGTCAGATAAAACACTGAGGCAGTAAAATCTGCAATGAATGAAACTCGTATTGACCAATGGGCTCAGTCAGCTCTCAGCACCTCCTGCTTTCACTCTAAACTTCTGTAGTATTACTCACTCTGTAGTATTACTCACTCTGTGGTATTATGAGTCACACACAGCTGGAGTTTTTACACGTGTTTCTTAATTTCACCCTTTGTACATTTCTTCTTCTGTTGCAGTTCATGCTTTGGTCTGTCCTGTGTGATCATGGCTGCGTCTGCCTACGATCCTCACAGTAAGTCTAACACAGACACATAACCTAACACAGAGCATCACGTACATTGGTATCAATATTGCTGGAGTCTGATGGGCTGTTCACAGACCAGTTGGTCTGGAGGAGCAGCATTCTCCCACATAAACATCGGTTATCCACTTGGACATTCAACAAAAAACAGAAAATGAAATTAAACCTGTTTTTGTTAGGTTTGAAATCCTAATTTTATAGACCCAAATGTCTGGCAAAAACGCTAAAAGTCCAAAGACGGAACCTAATAAAATGAGCTTCAGCCAAACTGAAGCGCGCTTTTTTTATCGTTTGATTTACTGTGTGTAGAAGAAGCAGCTGGAGCTCTCTGCTCGGTCAAATCGTTTTTCTGCCTATTGCAGCTTCACATTGTGCTCATACAAAAGCTCAATTGATGCAACACGCTATGACCTTATTGTGTAACCTTTTATTATGAGCTAATGTTAATTAGACAGGTTTATGTTCTGTTGTCTTTGTGACCTGGAGAGTGAGCGGTAGTAGCACTAATTCACTGTGAAGTCCACACCCAGACCAGCTCCACCCTGGTGTGTGTGCATGATCTGATTCAGCTGACCTCCCTACAAATGTTGCTCACCTGTCTGTGATGACCTAGATCTTTCTGTTCACTTGTGAAATTTTCTGCAGTGGACTTAGCTTCATCAACAGCCTCGGTCCTTAAGGGTTTTACCCCTCCCACTGTCCTAATGGGTGTGACCCCACCAGGAAAGTTGACCATCGAGTAGGATGGATGGTTTATCCCTTGGGTCCTTGTGGCAGGGGTGAGGAGTGAGCACTACCTCACCCCAGCCACATGGACCTCAATGGATTAACCATCAATCCTGCTCAATGGTCAACTTTGCTCGCGGGGTCACACCCATTAGGACAGTGGGAGGGTTACATTCAGTTGGACTGATAAGCTAACAGGTAGGCTGGGTTCAGCCGAGACCTGAACTTCACTGTGTGTCTTACAAATTAGAATTTATGAATCTTTGTTTCACCTTCAAGCTGGCATTACATAGAATTCTATAGTTATATTAACATGATGAGTGTGACATCAACGGGCCATTCCAGCAGGAGTGTCTCAGTAGCTGCGTTTTCATGTGCCTAATTTCCTCAATCCGATTGAAATCTTGGTTGATCGGAATTTCCGAATCTCTGTTCACATGGACACGAACTGAAATGATCCGATCATGCCGTGCGTACATATGCACCAAGCATTTAATCCGATTAAATAGGTTGAGCATGCGCAGAGTTGCCTTTCACGAAAGAAAAATTGTAAACAAACGCCATGAAACGAAAAGAAAAATGTAAAAACAGAAATAACTATTCTTCCTGCTTTCCTGATCCATTTATTCAATTTAATATTTTTATTTAGCTCATAGAAGTTACGTTTTCTTCAGTGAATAACTGCAGATATATGCTTTGCTGCATTTTATTGTTGATTAAAATAAGGGAGGGTTATGTCTGCCTCTTGATCAGCTGGTCCGCAGGTCTGAATTGACAGCTGTTGCGCTGCACTGCGGCACAGAGCGGGGGTGGGGGGTGGGGGGGGGGGGTTAGCCTCATGTTTTATTACTGAGCTCTGTTGTGGCTTATTATTAATAACATGTGACGATCAGCTGAAACTGTTGAGAAAAATCTGTTCAAACAAAATAACAGAAGATGTTCAGAAAGTTTAGAAGCCTGTGTTCATCATTAACGAACCGCATCTCAGGTCATCTGCGTTTACGTGCTTTTAACGAACACGGACTTTACTGTCGTCCAGAGTATTTAACCGAGGACGTTTTCCTACCCAACATCAGCCTCCAATCAGGTCTGTAAAACCCAGATTATCCTGTGTTCTTAACAAGCGTGTCTCCATCACCTGCTGCAGAAGCTGCTGTGTTCAAAGCTGACAGAAACGGGGATCCGTGCGCTGCAACCCCCACGATAAACCTGCGTATTTCCAGTAAAGATTTGAACATCTTTGTCGAATGATTTGTGCAATAATCAGATTTTTATTTTACTTCCACAAAATGCAAGTTCTGAATTAAATATTACTGAAACGGGACGGCTTGTTGTCGGATTTAAAAGCCGCCGCTTGTTAATTACACCGTCATTTTTGAAGTCAGGCAGTCCAAATGACAGCGGAGAGGCCCGCTGGCTGTTGCACACATGCGCAGTGGGCATTGTTTTACCCCAACAATCCGAATGGCTGTGCACATGCACGTCAATCGGAATGAAGAACGGAATAAACCACCTCTCTCAATCGGATTGAAATTTCAATCCGATCGGGCCGAATCGGATCAGAATATTCTGATTGACATGTTTACATGCAGAATTTTCAATCTGAATGGGCATTCAATCCGATTAAATATGCGCATGTAAACGTGGCTATTGTTAGCTAAATCACTTGTAACGGTAAATTAACAGCACTGTCAGCTAATACTGTATATCAACATTGAAGCCATTATGAAATTTAGAAGACTGAAGCTTTGTGTTTGTAAGATGGTCCCAGCTGTACACAGACTATCTGTTAGCTTATCAGTCCAATAGTGTTTCAACTCCAAACAAATGCTATTTAGGATGTTTTCAGTGGCTAAAAGTCATGATTTATATTTTTTACATACAAGAAAATTAAAAATAGCCAAAATATTCTTTTGAAATGCCTAAAAAACTGCAGGTTAAGTGTTTAATAATCCCAACAAATAACTTTGCATTCTTAAATCACCTCCTTTAAATGCAATATTTGATTTTAATTTCTCATTTTCATTTATGATATATGTGACTACTTCTGCCAGTGTTGTTTTATAAAGTGCAGCACTTTGGTCGGTTGTAATGCCGTGTTAAAAGCGCTCTATAAATAAAGTAGTATGGCATTTTGATGTTTTTTTTCCATTTGTTTTCACAGGTCTGTCCGCGCTCATCTTCTTAGCTCTCTCCCTGAACGGCTTCGGAGGAATCTGCCTTACTTTCACCTCTATCACGGTAAAATACACAACTCACAAAAGTCTTAAAATTTAGGTTCTGCGGTAGAATCCGACCACCGTTTGGATCTCAGACAAACTAATAAGAAACCCTTAGGTCGGTAAAGTGAAACCGCTCTGACCTGTGATCTCACATTGCTCCTATCTCACTGGTAAAAGAAACGTTTGTGTTCGTCTGTGTCATAGAAAAGAATCTGAAATGAACGAGAACAAAACAGAAACAGTAAAAACCGAAGAGAATAAATAAAGCAGTATTGATGGAGCCACAGTAGCAGTCGGCCTGGTCGTCAGCAGGGCTGCTCCGGTGAAAGCAGAGACGTTACAGCGAAGCATCAAGGTGAAAGTGTGACAGTGTTGGCCCACATCAGTGCAAGAACAGATACAAGTTATTAATGGCACTGAATGCTTGTGCATGGTCCAAACTACTGGTGGAATCTACTGCACACTGCCAAGTGTTATTAAGGAGCTTTAAAACAAAAGAAAATGGAAAATAATAATCAAACTAACTTGATTTTAGTCAGGTCTAAAAAAAATACCTCCCACCTGGATTTAAGGCTTTAATGGGTCACAAGGGTTTTGTTTTCATTTTCAAAAAGAGTACGGTAAATATTCTACTGTTTCCCATCAAAGTAACACAGGTAATGTCGGTTGGTGCAGTTTGTAAAACACTGGTGTTCAAAGCAACAATTAGCTGTTTGATCAGAGATCAGCTCAGATTAAACACAAGCTAACCTGTGGGGTTAGATTTTCACATATAAAATGTTTCAAATACGATTGTGCAAATGTTATAACCCCAACATTTTCTCATTTCTAATGACCTAAATGAAGAACCCAGCTATGGTGCGTTCAACTGAGCTGATTATATTGAGTATTGATCTTTACTATTGACTGTTAGACGATCTGTAGTGTCGTTTCTCCTAATAAGGATGAGCTGGTGCATATTTTCATAACTTTTATGTTTTTGGTGGATTTTGCTTGAGTGTTTATAACAAAAGCAAGAGTGAGACAAACAGCTGTAACCTCTTGTTCAGACCACTTTAGAGGTTTTAGAACATTTGTTGCATCCTTCAAGGATATTTGAGTCATTGTTTAATTTGCTAAATTTTTAAAACAAAAGAAAACCAGGAACTAAGACTAAAGTGAACCTTTTTTTTTCTCTGATGTGGTTTGGAAGTCACATTCTAGGAAATGTGAGATCAGTGGAGCCAATGAGCAGAAACATTTAGATCTTGTGTGTGTGTTATGACTGGAACACGTGTTTTTATTTACCCTCACATCAGAGGGGTGTGTGTGTGTGTGTGTGTGTTTGGGTACTGGGGATCTTATCTTGGCCCCTTGTGCCCTGGCAGGTATTTAGGTTTGCGCTGCGTGTGGGTACATAGTGTTTTTGGCAGAGCTGGATGTGACCTCCCAGAGCTGGAAAGTTCCTCATTAATGTTTCCACCAATGACATCCTGTGTTCCATCACACACCCTCCATGACGCTCAGCCCCTCAGCTTCACCTAAAACAACCCAAGGACACAGCTTTGTTCTGGGTCTGCTAACCCTGCTGCACAGTGTTTAATATATCACGTTTTATTTTAAAGATCTGCACAGTGCTGCAGACATGTACGCGTGTTTATTTTCATGTAAGCATAAAGCAAATGTTTGGACAGTGAGGGTCTGATTATGACAGATTGTTTTTTCTTAAGAGCATTGATTGTAGCTGAAGGCTGTGGGACATAATACCCGCCTGAGATAAAAGAACATCATTTATTGTTTCATGAAAATTCTCTGACGGAGCAGTTGAAGAAATAGAAACGTGTGAAAACGATTGGTTTCTAGCCGTGATGTTAATGTGAAAAATAAGATTGTTAACTAAATTATTCACACAAGAAGGAAAAGATTAAAGGATAAAATGTGACTAAGATTTTCTGATCTACTTGTAGCTTTTGGAATATTTGGTGAAAAATTCTTAAACAAGACTCGGTTTGCTTAGGTGCTTGAACTTCTAGAAAGTGCTTGAAGTTTGGGTAAAGTGCTTGAAACTAACAGATTTTTTTGTAGCACAAAATATTTCTTTTTATGAGACAAGGAAGTGAGAAAAGTGAGAAAACAAAACAGTTTAGCACAAAATGTTCTTTTCCAGCATGTGTAAATCCTCACTAGTGTAGGGTGCTGGGAATTATTGAAAACTTACTTTGAAAGTCATTGAAGGGTGCTTGAATTCAATAAGGTGACAAAGCTGTACAAACCCTGGCGAGGAATGTCTGGATTTCTAATTAGCTTTACTGTCACATGAGGTGGGTCAATGCCACCTTTTCCTAACTAATACAAAAAAAAATACATTTTCATCTATCATGTGGGGCAGAGCGTGGTCCTTTTTCATCCTGTTGACAAAACAAGCCATGTTTGGTTCACTCAACATTTCTGTTCATTAATAAATGAAAAATGTATTTTATTTTGCCTTGTAGAACTGATTTAAACCCAAAACCACAATTATTATTCCTTCTGAACTTGTTTGACCTCATCTGGCTCCTCTTTTATGCATCTGATTGGGTTCATTGGTGCTGACTGACCTCCACATTGAGTACGTTTACATGCAGTCAATATCCGGGTTATGATCGGATTAAGGTCGGGATTCGGGTTTCTGAGTTGATCAGAATAACCCGTTTACAAGCATAAATAGAAAGAGTTACCTCTAACTTGCATAACCCGATTTAAATGCGGACGCTGGGGTAGCGTCAGGACGTATGGACTACGTCCAGATGCAATATGCGTCATTTCCGGTTCTTCTTGTTCCAGTATCCGTGAAAACAACATGTTTCCCAGTTCGGAAGAGATAGCGACCGCGTTTGTTTGAACTTTATTGCTGGTATTGACCCACTAGCAGCTCTTACCGCGACTCGCCATGTTGCTCCCAACTTGTTGTTTACTTCCGGTGTTCTGGCGCATACAAGACGTCTCGCTACTCAAAAGACCAAGATTCCTTGTGAACAGAGCATGCGCAGAACACACGCTTTGATGGGGATATCCCGGTGTGCGTTTACACGACCAAACATTCGGGTTAGAAAAGGGTTACCCCAGGTGTAGTAACCGGGTTTTTAAAAACCCGGTTATGAGCATATCCGGGTTTTTGGCGGTGTTTACATGGACCTGCGGAACCGGGTTATTGTGAATATTCGGGTTTTAAAAGGGTTACTGGCTGCATGTAAACGCACTGAGTGGTGCTGACTGACCTACACACTGTTGCTGTTGTTCTGTAGTTAATAACAGGATGGACACACACACACACGCACACACACACACACACACACACACACACACACACACACACACACACACACACACTCTTACTTCATAACTAATAACATGTGCTTTCAAGGAAAGTTTCAAGACAGGAAGTTATAAAACCAAATCACTTTTGTTAAAGTTTTTGTGCTTCACTCTGTGTAATAAATTAGAATTATTTTGAATGTTGATAAATAAAAACCGTTATGAGCCCTGTGTTATACATAGTAATAAAACAATAATGCAAAACGATGCTTGAAATAAAAGCAGAAAATTGGCTGGAAATTATAAATACTTTAGTATTTAAACCAATAAACCAAACGAATTGTTGGTTCTTTTTTAAAACACAGAAAAGGTTTATTTTTACCTTGCTGATAGTTTTTTCACAGCTGCAAACTTCCTTAGAGCTGACGCTGATGGTGGCGTCACTTCCTACTCCATTTCTCCCCTCTCCGATGATATAGTCCCATGCACGATCCAATGTGTAAAGGGCGACAATGCCCTCTGCTGCCCACGAAGAAACGGAGTAGGAAGTGACGCCACCATCGGCGTCAGCTCTGAGGATGTTTGCAACCACGAACGAAACTGTCAGCAAAGTAAAAAGAAACCTTGAGCATAATGAATCATAGAGGGAAGCGAGCATGGAGTGTGCAGTAGAGTGGGGGACGAGTGCTGGGGGGTGCTAGTTTAGAAGATGCTCTCTGAAGAGATGGATCTTCAGGGGTTTCTTGAAAATCGACAAGTACGCCCCAGTTCTGGTAGTGCTTGGTAGGTCATTCCACATCTGTGGAGCGATACATGAAAAGAGTCTGGATTGTCCTGACACTTGGTGTAGGCGCTGCTAGCCGACGATCCTTTGATGACCGGAGCGGCCGTGACGTGATGTAAGCCTTTGCAAAAGTGTTTTTTAACTGCATCATTTATAACTTACTTGAAACAGCAAAAAAAAAAAAAAAAAAAAATCCAAACCTTTCATTCTTTCCTAACGATTATTTTAGCGCGACTGCTCTCGGTTACTCGTGGAATGGCCACGCCCACCATTTGTTGGTTTATGATAATAATAATAATAATACCACCGCTGAGATTATTAGTGCCATGCCTCTGGCAGAAACACAAGCTGATAGGTCAGATTGTCACTTATATTTATCATTATAAACTCACCTGGGTGTGACCTGGGGGTTATACTATGCATCGATCTAATCCCAAAATCCAGGCTCTTTAAAAATCCAGGTTTAACATACCCATTCCAATACCATGAAAGTGGCTAGCCTGAAACCCCTCCCAATCACCATGGTAACACATACTGGAGAACAAACCTGCTCCGTGGCAGGCTTGCAGCTAGACTTGCAGATGCTTGGTGAACATGACTGGATGAGGCATGTTATGTCCCCTTTTTCTTAGCAGCTGGCAGCTATGAGGTGGTGCATTAGCGTGCTCCTCCACATCGAGAGGAGCCAGTTGAGGTGGCATCTAGTTAGGATGCCTCCATGACACCTCCCTGGTGAGGTTTTACGGGCACGTCCAACCGGGAGGAGGCCTAAAGGAAGACCCAGGACATGCTGGAGGGACTAATGGGCCATTCCCATCTGTACCTGGTTGGCCCGGCTCGGATAGCATAGCTTGCTTACATATCTTGAGCCCCCTTCAGACAGGCCATGAAAAACGGAAATGTTCCGGAGTCTGTCCGTAAGACCTTTCTGTCTGAATACAAGCATCCGGATAACGTATTCC